ATTCAAAACACACAAAGCTGCTTCGTAAATACGCTATTTTTCGAGAGGACCGTGATGATGCCATGACATCATCCGGAGGTGTTGCCATCATAGTGAATCAAGGAATTGCATGCACACACTTACAACTCCAAACATCCCTTGAGGCAGTGGCTGTTCGAGCGGTTCTTTTTGATAAACTGATCACAATCGGCACTATTTACATTCCTCCTAGCTATCAGCTGCAAAAACGCGATTTACACTCTTTAATTGATGAACTTCCGGAACCTTATGTTCTCCTTGGAGACTTTAATGCGCATAGCAGGCTATGGGGTGACTCTCGGTATGACGCGCGAGGTCGACTAATCGAACAATTCCTTCTCTCGTCATGCGCGTGTCTCCTAAATCGAAAAGAACCAACCTATTATTATCTCGCCAATAACACCTACTCCTCCATAGACCTAAGCATAGTATCTCCATCTCTTGTGCCTCTACTCCAGTGGAAAGTCGTCAGTAATCTGTACGGAAGTGACCACTTCCCTGTAGTTTTGAGCACGAATACAGTAACTGAATGTTTACCACGTGTTCCCAAGTGGCTCATAAACAGAGCCAACTGGGATCAGTTTTATACCATCGCTCGTCTAGGTTGGAATGACATATGTACTTTGAAGATTGATGTTGCTGTCAACTTCTTCACGGCGTTTTTGATTGATGCTGCAACAAAATGCATCCCACAAACAAATGGACACCCTGGAAAACGGCGTGTGCCATGGTGGAACTCTGAATGCCGAAACGCGCGCAAACAGCAAAACAGAGCTTGGAGGCTGCTTCAGAACTGACCGACAGCCGAAAATCTTGACACCTTCAAGAAAATAAAGTCTCAAGCTAGGAGAACACGTCGGCAGGCCAGAAGAGAAAGCTGGCAGAAGTTTTTGTCAGGGATCAATTCATACACACAAGAGGCCAAAGTCTGGAACTTGGTCGGTAGGATAGCAGGGAAACAAGTGCACACACTTCCACTCGTAAACACTCAAGGTGATACCTTGGAAGATCAGGCAAACTTCCTCGGGGCACATTTTGAACGGGTATCCAGCTTGTCCCACTATACTGACACTTTCCAAAAATACAGAACAAGAATAGAAAAGCAGAAACTCGAACATAAATCCACTAGATACAAGGCATATAACCAAGCTTTCAGTCTAGCGGAGCTCCGAACATCTCTAAACTCCTGCAGTACTTCTGCCCCAGGTTCTGACCGTGTGGTATATGAAATGTTAAAAAGCCTACCAGCCGAAACACGAAAAACCTTACTTTGTTTGTACAATGCTATCTGGTTTTCTGGCACTATCCCTACCTCCTGGAAAGAGGCTATTATTATTCCCATTTTGAAAGAGGGCAAGGACCCCTCTTTAGCTTCAAGTTATAGGCCTATTGCACTTACAAGCTGCTTGTGCAAAGTCTTCGAAAAAATGATAAACTGCCGACTTGTACATTTTATTGAAACAAATAATTTGCTCGACCCATTTCAGTGCGGGTTTCGAGAAAGTAGATCCACCACAGACCACCTTGTTCGTATCGAGGCGCAGATCAGAGACGCCTTCGTCCATAAACAATATTTTCTCTTTGTGTTCCTCAATATCGAAAAGGCGTATGATACAACATGGCGTTTCGAAATTCTAAGAGACCTGTCCCACCTTGGTGTGCGCGGAAGAATGTTTCATATAATCAAAAGTTACCTGTCCAATCGGAAATTCCGTGTCCGTGTGGGCAGTATTCTCTCGCAACTATTTGTGCAAGAAACGGGAGTACCGCAAGGTGGTGTACTCAGTTGTACACTTTTTATTATTAAAATGAATTCCTTGCACCTGTCCATCCCCCGCAACATGTTCTATTCCACATATGTCGACGACGTTCAGCTTGGCTTCAAGTCATGCAACTTGGCCATGTGTGAGCGGCAGGTTCAGCTGGGTTTAAATAAGGTCTCTAAATGGGCAGATGAAAATGGATTTCGACTTAACCCACAAAAAAGCACGTGTGTCTTGTTCTCTCGAAAGAGAGGCATGCACTCGGAATCTGACATTCGACTGAACGGGCAACGTCTGTCCGTCAAAGCCGAGCATAAATTCTTAGGCCTAATCTTGGACAACAAGTTGACCTTCGTGCCGTACGTCAAGTATTTAAAAACGAAATGTTTAAAAGCCATGAATGTTATAAAGGTGTTGTCACGTACTACGTGGGGTAGTGATAGGCAATGCCTCATGAACCTCTATAGAAGGCTCATTCGCACCCGCTTAGATTATGGGGCCGTTGTCTATCTGTCTGCTACTCAAAGTGCCTTGAAGATGCTTGACCCCGTGCACCATTTGGGCATCCGCCTTTCTACGGGTGCTTTTCGCGCCAGCCCCGTAGAAAGCCTTTATGTTGAGTCAAATGAGTGGTTGCTTCATCTGCAGAGAACTTACATGTCCTTTGTGTATTTCCTTAAGGTGAAAGCAGACAAGAAGCACCCCTCATACTCTACAATTAATGATTTGTCGAGCTCAACTCTGTTTCAAAACAGGCCTTCGATGAGGCAGCCCTTCTCAGTTCGCCTAAAGTGTCTTGCTGAAGAAACTGCAGTATCACTTGAACACAGTTTAATGGCTCCTGTAGCATACCCGCCACCGTGGCAGTGGCAGACTATAGACTGCGATGTGTCTTTCCTAGAAGTTACGAAACATGCACCTATTGCCCATATCCGAACATACTTTTTGTTACTTCAAAACAAATACACACGTCCTGAGTTCTTCACAGATGCCTCCAAGACTAAAGGCTGGTGCACACCGGCGACTAGCCGCGGGCGCGCGACCATTTGCGACTGGTCGCAAGCAGTCGCGAACGGTCGCAAAGCGACTGTTTTGGCCAGTCGCTCCCTGACCGATTTTTTGGTTGCGCGACTGCAGTCGCAAAACAGTTTAACCAATCAGCGAAGACCAGAAGTGACGTCAGCCTTTGTTTACATCCGGCCTCCCCTTACGTGATTTTTTTTTCTCATTGCGCTTGCCTACTGCCGCGAGGTACGAACGACACGTGTACGTTCCTCCATGGATTTTTCCTCGCATCAGGCGAATGCCACCACGGCCAGCTCTGAGTACTCGGCCGAGCTCCTCATCGACGCGATTAAAATGTACCCATATCTCTATGACAAGCGGCACCCTTCTTTTAAAGATCGGACAAAGAAGGACCGGGCTTGGGCAGAGATCCGACGCATGTTCGGCATGTCGAGTAAGTACCGAGATTTTTTGTTTGAGTAGCTATGTAAGTAAGAACAGGTGTGTACTGCATGGCTGGCGTTGCCTATGAATGAACAATGAAAATATTGGTATTTGTACAGCAAGGTTACATGGTTAGTTTGCATTAGATGTATTGACTGTGATGTATGGGAGCGCAGTTGTGGGCACGTTTGTTCTCGCGACTTTCCGAGTTTAACATCGAAATCGACGTGACAAAAAATTGTAAAGCTGATAATAAAGCTCAGACGTTCGAAATATTGCTCGCAGTTGCCAACTCACCTAGCGCATGCTCCTTGCTGTTTTTGTACGCCATCGTCTGGCCAAGGGATTGTGTGCTTTTGTGAACGTGCGGCCTTTGCAATGCATAATATCTAGTGAGCGGTGAGGGAGGTGTTACGCTTTAATTGTGCCTATGCATTGCAGTTGTGCTGTTTTAAAAAAGAAGGCAAAGTAGCTTCTGCTTTGAGCGCATTTTGTGCGCCCATAGCGTGTAATTAAGACATACAAAACATGTTTAGCAGCACCCTCAAATGTCCGGATTTGGGAGTCAGACATGCTGTTGATGCCAAATGACATGCAGTTGATGCCAAATGACATGCAATCGTAAAAAAAAAAAGATATGGTAGTGTTCTAGTGGCTGGGCGAACACTGAAGGAAAGCACAGATTGGGGAATTTATTCCTCTGTAATGTGGCCCATATCTAATTCTCATTTCTTCCCAACTGTTCCTTTCCTCTCCTGTGTTTTTGTCTATTGGTGCCTTTATATTTCGATTATTCCTTTATTCCCAGAGGTTATATCTCTCTGCTTCCAACTGTGCCCCGTTTTTGTTTGTTTTCTTTGTTCCTATATTTTAAAGTCAATGTTTCATGTCTGCTTCTATGTGTTGGTATGTTTTCATGTCTTGGTCCCTTTATTTTCTTCTTATATTTTCCTTCCTCTCGCTCTCTCTATGTTACACGTTGAGTCATATACTATGTTTGTTGCATTTCTTTCTATCAAAAATTGTCATCTTGCTCTAGTTAGTTTCATCTTTCTTTTCAAGTTATTTAACATGTTTGCTTTTGTTTGACAACAATTGCTCTCGCTGTACACGACAGTTGCGCTTGGCCGATACCAATGGTATATACTCACCTGTGGAGTTTTGCACAATGCAGTAATGCTTAGAAAGCTTCACTGTGAAGGTGATAAAAACATCATGTGCTGGTTCATGAAATAGACTTTTTGCAATTGAACTTCTATTGCCGACAGTATAAACAGCCTCTTTGTTACAATAGCTTGGCAGACATGCTTACCTTCAAAAAACAGTGTACATAACTCTTTGCGCAACTAATCATTGCATCAGCTGTGATGTCGTGCACATGTAGGTGGACGGTCCAAAACACTAGGTGGGTGGCATTTCTGGAACCCTCGGCTGCAGGTTCCCCCAATCATGTTGTGGTTTCGCAATGTTTAAGCCCCTACCAATACCTAAGTTTAGATGGCATGTGATTCGTTTTGACGCCCAATATTCAGGTTTTAGGGTGCTGCAACCGAAATGATCTGGGCAAAGAAAATAAAGACCGCTCACAATTGTGGTGAAATAAAGTAGAAAATTTATCAGCAATACAGTATGCACAAGACATTCTTACAGCAAGGGTTTTGTTTTCAGGTGTCCTTGTTGAGAAACGATTCAAGAACCTGCGTGACATCTTCAAAAGGAAACAACAAGACATACGTGAAAAACAAAGAAGTGGAGCCGGAGCAGCCGACATTCCTACAATAAAATGGCCCCATTTTGAGGCCATGCTTGAATTAATGAAAGGAGAGTCTGAGCCTGTGGCGTAAGTTCAATATTAGCTGACTTTTGAGTACTAAACAAAAAAAGTTGATTTAATTCACATGACTGTTAAATATACACATAAATACACACATATCAATACACATAAGTACACTGCACATAAACATAGAAGTCCCAAGAGGTAATTCACAGTGGGCATGCATGTGATCATGAACATGGTGGCAATGGGCTGTTTTGATGTTGAATAATTGTGGCTACAGCTATGAAGAATAACTCTGTGCATCATTCTTTCAGGGTACTGTGCAACATGAGTGCCATTGATCAAAGTTAATGTATAATGCTTACCCTCCATTAACAGAAAATGAAATGTTTTGGTTAGCATAGCACAATGCATCAGCACAACGCAAAAAATATAGCATACCATACAAGTGGCACGTGGGCAGCTTCACAAAACAGAGTATTGAAGACAGAACAGTTAAGAATGAGAGAATTGAGTGTACTTCTGTGTCATTCTCGACTCTCAGTTATCTAAAGAAGGAAGGCTTGATACAAAATCTAAAAATCTAAAGAGATCGCTTATTGCATGTATCTTGGGGCTGTTCATAGGCAAGCATCACATATTCATTACAAGAATGCAGCATAAGTACTTATATTGTAGCAAAACAGGGAAAATGCTCTAAAGATGCACACAATAGCACTGACAGAATCACATATTGCATGTTCTCTTGTAGCAGCCACATCACAGCAGAAGAGGCTAACGAGAGGTGAGCATGCACAAAAATGTTCTTCCTCTACCTTTACTTCATCTCCGTGACAATATCTCTTGCTCTCATTTAGATGCGCAGCCTACATAGCATTTTATTAACATAAAGGCACACCTGTATGCACACCTTCCATACAGCAGTGCTCAATCAAGAGGTAACGCAAGTGACTTCTTATGATAAATAAACCTCGTGTTGAGTGAAATCATAATGGCATTTTAACTCCCAAAGAATGCCTAAAACTGTTCATGTACTAGTGGCATCATCAAATACATAGAGAGAAGTTTTTATCACTGCAGATCACAGCCTCGGCCAAGCCATGCAGCGGAACCGGAACGTACCCCTGATACGGCTGAGGAGACTGGTGTCGACACCTGCAGCAATGAGTAAAACCTTTATGAATCCACCTAAGTAATAACAAATGAAGGGCATGCATAAATAGCCAATCTATTAAATCTTAAAAACATGTTTTGTAACCTTCTTCACGTTCTAGCACATTTGGAGAATGTGCCTAATGTTTTCACACCAGATTCTGCTGCATGCAATTGTAACACTTTATAAGTTGTATAATAATACTGCCTCCTTCTGCAGCGATGCTTCAGCAACCACCTCGAGAGAGGAGCCACCATCAAAACGGTGTGTAAACGAAAAAAAATATTTTAGGTACTCCTGGCAAGAGATCACAATCACAACTTTTCGAAAAGGATCTCTTTCTGTACATTTAAGCAATATGTATAATTCACTGCAGGTCACGCTCGGCAAGACGAGAACGGACCTGCGAGGGCGCTAGGTGAGATATACCGCTAACTCTTAGAGGATAAACTTGCAGATTTTTTTCTAACAATCCTGCACATGCTACAAAATACAAAACTTTATAAGGTTAACGCTCGGTCAAGTTGGTACACAGACATAGTAACAAAAAAGTGTGAGAACGACAAGGTGGAAACAGAAGAAACAGGACAGAGCACTGACTTTAAACTGATGTTTTTATTATGGGCACAATTATACTAAGGCAGACAGAACCCATGTAACTATCGTAATATTTAGACGTTAATATCAGAACATCAGCACCCTGTCCCAAAACACGAGTGTCCGTTTTAAGGGGGGACGCGGCACTTCGGGTCCGAAAATCAGCCAAAAAATCGAGTTTTCGCGGACCTTCTTTTCGCGTTCCCGACATCATTGCTCACCTATTTACAAAATTTCATAGCCGAATACCATCAGCTTTTATCGTTATTCAACTTTAAAAAATCGAAAACGGGCGTCCTGCCCTTTAAATTGAGGGCGAATAGCGCAGGTTTCAGCTCTACGATACGCGGGAACTACGCGCTCGATCGGCGCCATTTTGGTCTTGTTTGAAAGAACGCATTTTCAGCTGTTTTTTTTTTATTCAGTAAGCAACATTGAGCGTTTCCCCGGCTCGAAAAACGGGGCCTCAAAGACGAAGAGCCGTGCTCACTGCCATTGGCTAAACAGCGCACGTGACTGAAATGGCACTTTCCGGTTGGCTGGAAGCTCGCGGCTTGCGCCTGCATACGCGACCCGACGCCATTTTGAAAGGGTTACCGCTGTGACGCCTCGAAATCGGCGGAGCACTCTGAAGCTTCTGATCGTATCGCCATGCCTGGAAACGCAAAAAAGTATCGGACCGTGCACGCATTTGGTCGTAGGAAACGCAAAGGTCGTGGGAGAAAGTCTACGAAGTCATCAGAGCCCTTGGTTGACTCCGACGAACGATGTGTCGACGCTCCGCGGCCGTTCAGCGATGGTGCGGCCGAGCACGTTGCCTCCGACGACGATGACGGTGAAGCGAACTCCGGACGACTACGAATCGACGCCAAGGTGGTGACAAACGCCGAAGTTGAAGAAAATCATGCCCGGGAGAAAGCGACGCTCGACCGGCTTTCATCGGCGCCAGCAACTGCATGGAAAATTGACTTTTTCACCGCGAGTTGTAGCGAGGCAACCGCACAGGACTCGGACCACGCTGCTCCTTATCTGCTTATGCATCTAGATATCCTAAACGCGATAATGGGTGCCTTGTGTTGCAAAGCCTGCCACGGACCGGCTACGATCGTCAGAGGGGATCAGGACTACGGACTTGCCGTGAAAGTGCTAGTGCAGTGTGAAAGGTGCAGCGAGATCGCGAATGAATGGACTTCGCCCCGCGCGAACGGCACGAAAACGTGCAATCCGTTTGAAGTAAATCTTCTCGCTTCGAGGGCGATGGTGGCTACCGGCAACGGCCAAACGAAAATGAACGATATTTTCGCAACAATGGGCATCTCACACCGCGGTATGCACCACAAGACGTTTCAGCGGCATTTGAAGAACACGCTGGCACCCGCTGCAACGCGAGCGGCTGAGTCCGCTATGAGCGAATGTGCGGAAAAGGTTAGAACAATTTATGATGACTTGTGCTTCGGCCACCGGGGCAATATTGCCGTTAGCTACGACGGCACGTGGAAGACGCGAGGCCATTCTTCCCACATCGGCGTGGGCACAGTTATCGAATTATTTAGTGGCTACGTGTTGGACTACGTCGTTCTTTCCAACTTTTGCCTAGGCTGCGAGGTGGACCCAAAGCCTAGTAGTGAGGGCTATAAAGAATGGAAGGCTAACCACAAATGCCAAAAAAATACGAACAGCAAAGCGGGGCAAATGGAAGTGGAGGTGGCTCTAATTCTATTTCAGAGGTCGCTTGAACGCCATGGCCTGCGCTACACAACTATGCTGTCTGATGGAGACTCTAGGACATTTTGCGCCATACAAGACGCCAAGGTATATGGTTACATTGACGTGCAGAAGGAAGACTGTATTAATCATGTACAGAAACGGATGGGCACCGCATTGAGAAACCTGGTGCAGAAACAAAAGTGCGATGGGAAAAGAGGCCTTGGTGGGAAAGGCAGGCTCACAGGTGAGCTGATCACCAGGCTGAGCACATATTATGGCCGGGCTCTGAAATCACATGAAGGTGACGTGGGCGAGATGCAAAAGGCTGTGATGGCCACATACCGCCACGTCACTTCCACTGATGAATGCTCGGACCACAGTCTGTGCCCAGCTTGTGAAACTTCATGGTGTCGGCACAATGCCGCAAAAGCAAAGGGTGAGCCCGACCCCAGGCATGCCTACAATCTACCGAAAGACGTGGCAGAGGCATTACTACCGGTTTATACCCGGCTTTCGGAAAGAGCCCTGCTTCAGAGGTGCGAACGCGGCAAAACGCAGAACTCCAACGAGAGCCTACATTCGGTAATCTGGAGTTTGGCCCCCAAGGAGCACCATGCGTCCCTGTTCGCTGTTGAAACAGCTGTTGCAGAAGCAGTGCTGCGCTTCAACACGGGCAATTTGAATTCTGCAACGGTAATCTTAGGTGAAATGGACATGAATGCGACAAGTACTGGTGCCAGGAGAGCGAGAGAAAAAGACCACCGTCGCAGCATTGTCTCCAACAAGAAAAGAACAGCCTCATTGGAACTCCGGAAGCTAGTGAAGAGGAGGCATGAGCACAGAATGCATTCAGACTATGCTTCTGGTGCGTTTTGAGGTTGTCTTGTTGCATCTCCTGCAACAAAAATGTGTGCCCACGTTTTTTCTCGATTTCTCAAAACGACAATTTTCATGTGCTTCCCATTATGCCGGAGCAATATCTCTTGTTCTATCTGGGTTATCATTACGATTTCTTTTTTGTTTCGAAGATAAATGCAGGGGATGTGTCGTAAAGTAAGTTTTATTGTAATAATTTTTGGAGAAAATTCTCTAAATGGATCATTTGTTTCAAGTGTAGATGGGGAAATTTTTCATGTCATATTCAACATCCCACAACTTTGCTTCGAAATAGCCCAGAACAATGATTTATACTTTATTGCACACTGTGAACATACCGAATTGGTTCTATAGGTTGCACATCAATATCCAAGTTACAGTTAATTAGCTAATTAGGCCTTAATTGAGAAAGTCGCAGTTCATTATATCTTTAAAACCAATTGTCACAGCAAAAAAAGAATTAGATTTTTGAAATCAGCAGTAAAATCTACATAGGCTCTCCAAATTTGACTGAGGTACTCGCAAAAGTAAAAGAGTTTTTGGAAGGTGTAGCATCCCCCCTTAAAGATCAAAAGCCCATTTATTTCTCACAGAGAGGTAGACGCCCTATTGACACATTTATCTTTTAAGTGTGCTATTTAATTTGCTTCAGTTGCTCTATATTTTTTCTTTCTTAGTGCCGAAAATCACAAACATCAGTTCAAAGTCAGTGCTCTGTCTTGTTTCTTCCTTTTCTACCTTGTCGTTCTCACACTTTTTTTTTTGCTAAATGGTGCTTTATGAATTAACAATGCAACCTTAAAGCAATCACATACATGAATCACAGATCACACTTGCTTTACAGCAATGCAGGAGAGGGCACAAGTCATGAAGCTGGGGCGCAAGCGTGCATGGAGCACCTTGAACACATCAGAGCGAACAAGGGGGTCATCAAAAAAGATAACATTGGTTTCTTCGCTCTGCGTACCGATGCACGCCTCAGGGAGCTACCAATGCACATTGCACAAGATGTAATGCATGCAGTAGAATTCATGCTGTATGAAGCAGAGGTGAAATTGCGTCAGAGCAGTGAAGCAAATTGAAATGTTTATATAATGTCAATGACACCCACCTTTTTATCTTCTGTTCACATTTCAAGTCCTATCTGTTCACATTTCAAAGTCCTAAGGGGTCATGACTGGTCACTCAACAATTATTGGTTGTCAGCAAAAAACAAAACTACAGAGTAAAATGTGCTAGTACACGTGTGAAAAGGGGCCTTAAGAGATTATTTTAGTCAAAAATATGCCGTAGAAGTGCTCGGCTCCTAAAACTTAAAACCTACCACAAGTGACCGCCATTTTGTCATGGTGTGCGAGACGTCACAAGCCGAAGAAGCAATGGCAAATAGTATACGCATTGCACATTTACAGGACCCATTTTGACATTCGAAATTATTTGCTGCAAGTACCAGCGCTACATTGCTGATGCAGTAGCCATGTTTCGACCCCTGGAAGTCATTTAGCTTTAGTGGAGAGTTCAACAATGCGAAAAAATTTGATTGCAAGCGCAGTTGATGACGGAACACGACCGTCTGCCAGAATGCACACTGTGCAGCAGCTTGTCGAGCAAGCGGTTCGTGATGTCATGGATAGCGAGTGCGTCAGTATTGCCCAACTGTCAGGTGACTAGCTCGTTTATAAAAATATGCGATTTAAAATTAACAGCTTGACCAAATCGCTCGAAGTTTGCCAGCTTGTATGTGAACATACAAGAATCAGCCCATACAACACACGTTATGGTTGAAAATTGGGCCTCATGACCGCTTTAAGGCAACTTATTTCTGTGATAATTATAGTGATAACCGTGCAATAACTCAAATATTTTAGCATGGATTATTTATTTTTGTGTTTCCATGGTTATATTTGGACATGACAGTTTTCTCTGTAATGTATCTGTTGTGTCACGGGCGATTTTTCTCTTGTTTGTTTAGCTTAAAAAGATGCTATGTACATAAGTTCTGTAAGCAATAAAATGCATTTACAACCCACCTTTACCTTGTATGCCTCAAGTCCTGTTCACCACTTTGTCCTGCCAAGGCACCTGACCGTCTGCGACGAAGTAGTGCGCCAATTTATCTCGCACTTCCTTGGCATACCTACAACGCATAAGTGCCATGTGAAATTTCTGTCGGCACAGCCATGATGGAAGACACACACTGTAAAAGGAGCATGCTGAGCTTGAAAATCTCACGCATAGTTAGATTTCAGTGTCGCAGTCATGACGCTATATTGCCAAAGTGTTCCTCATTTTTGATGTATTAATGAGCGCTACCTCTGCTGCCTGTCTTCTACGGCATCATCACAGCTTGTGATAGAATGCATATTTACTGATTAACTTTAGAAATTTTGATATGTCAAGTTCCGTGACAGCCAACGTCAGCAACTGCTCCAATTTGGACAAAACCATTGTACACTTTTCAGAGAATGATTGCCCTGTACAGTTAAACCTAATTAAATGTAGCTCGGTCAGTTCAAAATCCACCATAATTGATGGACCCGATCAATAGGCATCAGCAACGTACTCAACATGAATATCGTTTTCTTTTGTTAAAACCTCATCTTACGCGGCACATGGCTGTGCCCATCAATTTGGAAGAAAGTTGACCTCTATGTTTTTTTATTGCTCCTAGTTAACATATATTCAGCTACAATAGAAAGTAAAAGAATCAAGGATGTTAAAACACAGTTGTAATTGGAACAAACAAAAAACTAACGTAAATATATAGGATGCTGTTGGTATTATGATATAAATGTGAAGAAACCAAATGGACGTAAATCGTAAATATCGGCACTTCTAGGGACAAAACTTGTGCCCACGAATCTCCCATAAAGTGACCGGGGAGTTTGGTAGAAGCTACCTTGGTAGAACATAGAACGGTATATTTGAAGGTCAGAAGTTCATTTCGCCCGCATCAAGGTATTCTTTCACTACACTTCTTTCTTCATATTGTCATTGTGAATTAGTACACATTCCCTTGCTTTGAGGTGTGGTAGTACTGAAGAACTTTCACCAACAGGTGCTTATAATTCAAAGTAGTAAAATTTTACTAGCTCTTGAGCAACACAGACGATTTGACATACATGTAGTGTTCAAGTCTTTACATGTTTTCTCTTAAAACGTGCATTCTAAAAACTTCACTGCAGAGCAACATTTTTTACAATGTGTGTTTGTCGTATGCTTTTACACAAAACCTACTGTCCGAGCACTATTTAAATCCCCATTACTAACACGTGTGCCTCTCGTTTATATCCTCTCTGCATCCTTCAGTTTTTGTCGGTCGTGCACTATATGTGCCACGGCACCTCATCAGTCATTAATTGAATAAAAGCATACCTCGCAGCATTGCAGCCGGTAGGCCTTGATGGTATGAGCGCTCCGCCGGCTGCTGCCTCATCTCTCCAGCTTCCAGGTGAAAGATGTCCTTCCCAATCCTCGCTGTCTGTGGCACCAGGCGGGCAATAGGCAGTGGAGGATGCTGTGGACTCCTTAAGGAGAAAGTTATGTTGCACTATGCATGCTCCAGTGTATGCCTTTATGTTGACTTCTTTCGCCTTAATTGGTCGGCGTAGCACCCTCCACCTTTGTGCCAGAATGCCAAAGGTATTCTCAATAGTGCGGCGTGCCCTGGACATCCTGTAATTGAAGACGCGACGCTCGTACGACTTGTCGTCGTCTTCGTGCAGTGCTGAAAAGGAAGGCACTGAGCATTGTAACAAAAATAACCTCACAAGCCTTATATAACATAACGCTATGATTGGTGATTACAAATGAAACATGTGGACCGCCCGCACTGTCGCAAAGGGCCAGCAGAGATGCTAACTTGCCATTACAGATGTTTCTGTAAGAGACCTTCAAAGGTCTCTTACATATAAACTGTATAACTGCAATTGCCTACATCCATGCAAGAAAAAAATCTCAAAATTCAAAACAATGATCACACAAGGAAGCACAATTAAGCGCACTGGTCGCCAGTGTGTGCTTAAAGAGTTCGCCCTTGTTTTCCTCCTCGTTCTGAGTTTTGGTGGCTCTTCTCGCATTGCACCAACCGAACCAGTTTTGCATGCTTCTGAAGCATGATTGCCTAGTCAAACACATCCCTATTGCATATTGCTTTTACAAATCTCCCAGGTCATTTGTCGAGTCGTATAACGCCGGAATTTGTACCTCTCTCTCTTTTTTTCCAAATGTAAGTAGCGAGGCCCTGCTTTCACCCACGTTTTTATTTAATTATTTATTTATTTACTCTCAGGGCCAAGGGCATTACAGAGAGGAGTGGGGGGTAAAACACTCTACAGGTATACAATACAGCAGGAGTGTGGTTACACCAATGAAACATATTTGAAATATCCGGATAAACTGGAAAAATAAACAAACAATAACAGAAAGGAAAAATCAAAAGGCGCAAAAAACATTTGCCGTACACGGGAACAACCGAACAGGATTTACACAAAACCGCGGAGTTTCGCGAAAAAAAAAAAAAAACGTTGAGGCATAATTGGGATTAGATATTGCTGGGGTGCAATGTGTTGTAATTGTACCAGTGCAAGCACTTTTTTTCCCACAACATTAAACTTGTGTCCAATTGCGAGAGAGGTGCGCCAACACTTTCCCCTAAAACACATGCATAGTCTGCATTTCTACAGACACGTCACGGTGCAACAATTCCTTAGTAAAAATAAGATTGCACGTAAGAGCTACAATACAACGGCTTGAGTCCTGAAAGCTTATGTTGTCACTTAAAAAATGGTAAACACAAACAGGTAATGATGCCTTGAGCCACCTATGTGATGTCCAAAATCACAACAGGGTTCGCTGTAGCATACCTTCTCCACAGCTCTTTCACATAAACTGAAAAGCACTAAGCCTTTCTTTCATACATTCTTAACTTACTTCGTCTTGCGTATGGACGCATCACGTGCTCCTTCAGCGAGAAGGCCTCGTCGCTGACGAAGAAATAAGGGAGGAGACCCTCGTTGCGTACGGTGCTCACTGGTGGCAAGCCCAGTGCTTCTTGCAAAATATTTTTTTGGAGATTGCAGCGGGAGAAAATTCCACCGTCACTCTCACTTCCAGAGTGCCCGACTTCCACGTATATGAACCTGGGTGCAAAAGTACTGTAGCTATAAGACTTCACTTCAGGTATATCAGCAAAGGCCAGCCACCAATACTCAGTGCATGTCTTGAAACCCATCGTCTTTCTATGAAAAATGTTGGTTGACCATGTTACAGTTGCCCGCATACAATACTAGTTGTTACATCAGTGGTGCACAAAATAACAAGACACCTATATTGTTTTGTGCAGCATTCATCTCTAATGAGTTACCAAGTGGCACAGCAGTCCGTCACTCTGAAAGATGGACTACTGTTTAGCCTTCTAAAGTTATGTGTACACGCATGTAGACATGGCAAAGGAAAACCATACACATCACTCAACCTCTTGAATATCACTTGTTACCTTGTGCATTAATGAAATGGTTAACACCTAATGAAATAACACCAATTGTTAATGCTACCTTACTAGTGTGCACATTTCAATACAACCCAGAATCACCTGTATTGGGCATCACACACAGCAAGCAGCGACTTGCTGAATGAGCCCTTATAATTGAAGTTCATAGACCCGGAGTTCGCAGGGGACTCTATGGTCACGTGCTTGCCATCTATAGCACCGAGGCAGTGAGGGATGTTCCACCTCTCGTGAAATTCTTGTGAAATCTGCGGAAAAAAAATCCCACAAATGATCGCCTTCACACACGTTGCCAATGCTACGAAATGTACATCTGGCTGCTTCAAATACACAAAACTTTTTGTGGCCAAAAACATATGTAGCTAAACATGTGCCTCTCCTGAAGGGGCTCTTGAGCCAATTTGACAGAGGTTATGACACTGATGCTATGCCGAACAGGTTGCCTAAAAACTCTGATAGGCAACCTGCGTTTCCTAGTGAAACGGAATGTTTACTTCAATTATATGCAAGTTATTGAGTACTAATGAACATGAAGCCTGTGGTGTAATGCATTTTGCATATGATTATCCTCATGTGCTCCCCTGTGTTGAGAGGGTCAGGATTACGATGAGCTAAACATAAGCACATCATTCCCAGTTTAGTTCAACACTCATTTCTCCCTTCCAGTAAAGGTGTGTTTCCAGTGTGTTGCCACAATATATTTGCATTGACATAGGCTGATCGTGCTTGTATTGCACTTCTCACATGCAAGCACATTCAGTTTTTCAAGTCATTTCTCAGTTGAAACCAAACTCTCACACATCAGCCATGAGCATTTTTATGGAAAACGTTGCAATGTTGCACACTCCTTTAATGACTGTGTTACCTTTACGTTGCGTTGTCTAGACTTTGCCAGTAAAGCTGCTGCTATTGAGTTGTGTGTCAACCACCTTCACACTCTGAACACAGGATAACTTGTCTCACCAATGCATACACAAATCTATCAAATAGCGATTTTATGTCCTTGCCTGTTTCAATATATTGTGCATTGCCTGAAAGGCAGTGTCCTGAAGTGTGTGCTATTTTGGTATTGTCCTAGCTGCATTTCAATTACACCACACAAAGCAGCACAAGCCAGCAATGTATCAATATCGTTGCTGTGAAAATGCAGGAAAAACTAGCCTGTCTTACCTTCATCCACTCATCTGTTGTTGAAGGGTGCTGGAGGTACAGTGGCTGAAGTACAAGCCAAAAGGCCTCACTGACCTCCGACACTATGGAGGAAACGGTTGATCTCCCCGCTAGGAAGTTGAAGGCCACATCCCTTTGGGTTTCGCCTGTCGCCAGAAACCTGGCAAGGCAATGAGATACAGCAGTGAAATAAATCAATACACGGAAATTAGCATGCATTAGGTACACTACTCCGTGCTTATGATGGCAATCCTTTCTGATAGAGCTTTCTTTATTAATTGAGCATCTTCAATAATTACTTTACAGGTGACTGGACAGTTAACATTCAGAATCTCACTGCACTGCTTGTGAACTCTGCAAGCTGTCGAATATGCAGTGAATATTTATGTGCGTACACATTTTGGCGAATCATAAGCATGCATCAATCTTTTCATGGAAGAGTATACGTGCTCATATCACTCAGGTTGAAGATGGGCGACCTAAACGTACCTGTAGCAATTTGCTACCTGTAGCAAAAGCTGGAAATTCAAGGTGAACCTATTTCACGAAGCATACATCCCTCAAGTCTATTGCTTAAATTGCTTTCACACATTGCACTACCGTCCACAATACGTTTTGCCACTGCACTACTGTCCACGGTGTATTGGGTCACTGTCAATTTAACAGAACATACGCATTATTGTAGCGTGCATGCAGATACATAAAGTGTGGTTGGTTAAACCTCCTCCCTCCCCGATGCTGAAAAATATTTTTGGCATGAATACTCTTTGAATGCCTCGACCAGCACATCAATTTGTCCTAACAATTTGTGCATAATTGTACATATTAAGCTTAGGATTGTGTTTCACTTATTTTATGACATCATTAATAATTGCGCTCAATATAGTATCTGTGCATCAGGAAAACAGAAAACTGAAACTGACACGCCCAAATGTAATGTCATTGTGTAGTGCAGAATCCCATTTTCTGGGATTTTACAAGCGGAAACCACGTAGTGATTACGCAATAAGCCACAACAGATGGTTTTCAAAATTTCACCACCTGAGATTTTAACGTACGTGCGCAACAGACGCGCCAACTTAAATGCATTTCGCCTCCACCTAAAGGCGAACGATGCGGCCGTAATCAAACCCGTCACCTACGCGTAAACTGCGGACCGCAGTAACGACTGCGCCATCGAGCTCGCATTCGTCAAAAATGCAATTAGTTCTACCCACCCAAGCAAAACTTCCTTACAAGCGATGTGCAGCCGCAAGCCACAGCATATTAATCTTCAAACCTCTTACCTAATGGTCATGGCCAGGCGGTCGTGCGCCGAAATTGCAGGCCGGTAGTTTGTGTCCTGCTTGGATATTGCGGGGCGCAGCAGTTCGAGCAAAGTGTCGAACGTTCGTGGCGGCATCCGCATAAAGCTAACCATCAAAAAAAAGAACGAGATAACAGGTTATGCACTATCTTATAAGCACGTAAAACAACCGTAAACTTACTCTCGGAAATACTCCTCGTCGTACGAGCGCAAGTCGGGAAGCAAACGACCTGCGTGGCCAGCCACCTCTCGCGAGCGAAGGGACGGTCGCACCCACCACCGCCTTTTTTGCTGTGAAGGTTTTCGTGCAGCCAGCGCTGACACGTTGGCAGAGCACATCAGCACCGCCACAACCTCTTCTTCATCACTAGACTCGAAGTCCATGATGCTGTCGAAAGAACGCTACGCAAACACAGCCGTCGGAAACAGGCACGTCGCACACAGCGGGCTCCAATCACCGCCGGTCACCAAAGTTCTCGTTGATAACGAGATCTGTACGTGACTCTCCGGGTTTGCGACTTCCGGTCGCTCGCATGCAGCCTTGCCGGTGT